ATTATTGTCGAAATTTATAATTAGATCATAGATCGAAGACGGCTCTCTCTCTCTCTCTCTCTATATATATATATATATATATATATATATATATGTGTGTGTGTGTGCGTATACATGCATGTGTCTGCGCGCGTTTCCCTTCGCCTTATGCATTATTGATAATTGTAAAATTTATCAATATCGTCGTCCGTGATATTGAGTAATGCAGACCGCATGGTCAGCGGCGCAGCAAGGCCGAAAACAGCGCGATATATACCTCTGCTGCCCTATAATCGCGCATGCATTATGGGAACCTGGAGGTCAGTCACCTCGGCTTCGCCGAGTGTGTGTTTCGTCGTCGTCGGCTTTACTCGCTCGCGGCGGCTTTCGCGCGCGCGGCACTCTCTTGTGCATTCCCCCGCTCGATAACGAATTCGCCGGGCGAGTTCGTCGCGCGAATATATACGTGCCGTTAATTGACATAATTGTCCGCAACAAATATTCGCGTGGCCCATCGCATCGCATCGCGGCCGCAACTTTCGCCCGTCTATTATCACCCGCTTAGCGCCCACCGCGGTATTTCGCGCGACGCTCCTCATCTCTTTTACGTTTTCTTCTGCTTTTAATTTCCGCGTAATGTATGCAATCAGCAGCGGTTACAACCTGGCGGCGTCGTTAGCGCACACAGGCGTCATTAAAAATAAACGTTTCCGGAATAGTCTGGTGTATATTTGTCTGAGCGATAATCGCGCAACACGTGTCTTTCTCTCTGCGCTCCGCTTTTATACCGCGACGCGTTATTAAAAATCGCCCCGTGAATCGACCAGATTTATCCACCGCCGACTCGATTTCCCGCGAATATCTCGCGGATAGCGCGCGCGCGCTGCTGAAACGTAATATAAGCAACGCGCCATGCGTGCGCGGGCGGATTTCGCTTCTTCGTGGAACAAGCTTTTCTCTCTTTCTCCCTTACCGAGTGCAATCTTATCGTAGCGCTCTCTCGCTGCAGGAGGAGAGCGCGGAGTCAACGAACGATAAAAAAAGCACGAAGAATAAACTCCCTCCTCGTCATCCGCGCGTTGCAACACCTCTCTCGGGCGTGTGTGGGCGCGAATGCACTCTCCTTCTTCTCCATCTCCCTTTCTCACCCATTCTTTCCGCGCGCGCGCGCTTCTCTTCCCTCTTTTTCTCGGTTCTTTGCTTCGTTTGGGGTAGGTCACGGCGAAGCCGCGTACGCTATACACGAGTACGTCCGAGTTGCATCGCGTCTTTTTCCGTTCGTAAACGACTCTTTGTCGCGTGCTTTTGACATGTCATTTGCGACCAAGAACGGTACTCGCCGGAATACACCCACGCGAATCCGATTACCCGTGAAATGGAAAATCGTAAGGAATCGCGTCCAAATCTGACAATTTTGCCTCTTTTGTCTTTGACTGTCGTCGGAGTGGATAATGATGATTTTAGCGATTCATTTTTTTTGTAATTTATTTTCCGATTCCCGCTTTTATTACGCTCCCATAAATTGCTATTGTCTTTTCGCTATTTTATTTTATTTAGTTCCGCGTTTGCAAACTTCTCGAAATGGTTTCTTTTACCTTTAAGCGACACTCTCCCGTAAGAGAAACTTTCTCCACTTGGAGAAAATTAAATTTCAGAAATAATTTGCCTCTCTCCCGGACATTATCACCCCGCCGTGTTTCTTCGCAGATTCACCGACTTTCGAGCGATCGAACGTATTCGATTAGCGGATAGCCGAATGCGCGCGCGTTATTGTAGTCGATCATGCGATCCGAAAATCATAGAAAATTACTGAAAAGCCAAGAAACTCCGCGGATGATTCGCCCGGGATCAAGCGAGAAGGGGGTAAAACATTGGGGGAGGGACGGGGGGAGGGGGAAGAGCACCCCTCGTCTTGAGACGTCGTAATTCTGTCTTTGCCGTAACGGCTATCCGGCACGGAATTTGACCCCCTTCCCTTCCATCCGCTCTTTCGGTTTTCTTCCTCGACTCGAAACAGAACAATCCCCTTCCCTCTTCATTCCTCCTTTCCTCGACTAACTAGAAGGGTTAGTCGTCGAAAGAGAAAGAGCGGTGAAACAATGACACGCGCGCGAGAACCGTTATTTAAATAGTACACGGGAACCTTTTCCTGGCACGAGAGAAGAGGAGAAAAAAGCTTGCGCTCCTTCGGAGGGATGCAACGTGAGAAACGAGATTTGCATGCCCGGGATGAGACGCGCCCGCGGATAGATAATACGTGATTCTTTTTTTTTTTTTGCTATCGTAATAATAGAAGGCGAGAGGAGTGGTAAATTTATCATTATCCGATCGTCCTGCTTTGTCGCACTCGACGATTCGATCTTTGTGCATTGTTCGCGACTGTCGCTCTCGCGTTTTATTAATTTTCTCCGTTACGTCTTAAAATAATTAGAAATCCGTCGATTGTGTGTGTGTGTGAGACGAAAGTTATTAAATTTCCGTCTCGTTGTTCGCCTTTTCTATTTAATTATCTAGCTTACCAAGCTTATAGTTAATAAATATTTTTTTCTCGAAAAAAAAAAAAAACATGAGAACGGTACATCGCGACAATTTGTTTCCGTTGGAAAGAGAAGCTCGGAGGCTCTTTCGAATTTTCTTTTCCCCTGCCCGCGACTTTCCCATCCTCCGCTTCCTCCGTTACGATTCTGGTTTCTCCCGGCAGCTGTCAACTCGATCCGAAATCGTAGTCCCGGATCGATCAAGGGTGGATGTGTATCGTAGTCTGGATGCGACTCGGTCGTTGCGAACCGGTTTAACGCGCGTTTGAAAGAGAGCGAATTGGGGAGAAGCGCGGGCAAAAAATTCATTTGAATCGGGTCGAGCAGAGGCGTCGAAATAATTGGATTTTAATTTTCGAGGTAGCGCGCGCGGTGGAACAAAAAAAACGCGGGTGCACCCCCGGCCCTGAGAAACGTTCTCCGCGAATGTTTATGTAATATCGCACTCTCATCCGTCTCATCCTCTCTCCGAAACCCCTTTTATCTTTCCCACGAGGTTACAATAAAAATTCTCAAGTGTCTCGAACATTTTTTTCATCGTTGGCGGCTGTCGGAAACAACGGTCGAATGCGCACTCTCTTTCGGGTATATTATTTTTACCGATCTTTAATTAAACGATTCCATTTAGTTCGATCCGAATTTAAGCGCATCACTACTTGACATTTTTTTCCTCAAACTCGTTTTGGTTGATCTGATATATAAAAATATTATTATATAATTCTTTTTTATAATATATAATATGTGAAAAATAATTTCACTTTTCGATACATATTTTCTACATTACACGACAACATTATAGATAAATTTGTGTCCCGAATTACATCGCATCGTGAATCGTTGAATCATAAATCATCTAAAATGAGCTCAATGTACTCAATGACATTTATCTTAATTTATCACAAGATTAACAGATCCGATATATAATTTTCCGCGTTACGTGCGATATAATGTTTCTCGCTAAATTTGTAAAATATCGATTTGACGGTTGAATCAAGCGAGCGATAAAACTTGCAACGAGCCGATGCGTCTGAAAAATTCAGGGTTAAGAATCAATGCTGGCTTATCGAAGACGCTCTTCTTATCAATCCCTATCACGTGGACAAAACGAAAGAAAGATAGCTCGCTCGGATGGTCCGCGGACGGCTCGTGGGGACGGTACAAAGGAGGCGAATGTTTTAATTAAATCTCGAGGAAACGTGGAAACTTCGCCATCGCTCGACGTTTTTGCGATTTTCCGAAAGTTTCGCTTCGCGCGCGTAGCGGGGCGCGGAACGGGGCGGCTTTTAAGGTGGCGATGGAAGAAAAGGAAGGACGAGGTGGAACGACGAGTGCCCGACCAACCACCCCATTGCCTCTCTTTCCACCCCTCCCCTCGTTACCTTTTCTGCCGTCACTCTGACCGCCACCGCTATCGCTGCTAAAATAAAAGAAGCCGCAAAAACAAAAGAGCGCTGCGGCTACTTAACGAAACAAATTGTTGTTTCGTTCCGAGGATGAGAATTTTAAAGTTTTCCGCAGAGAGTGAGAGGGGAGGAGAAGGGACGCGCGGCAAAGGGGGAACGTCCCGCCTTTTTAACGCGCTGCCTCTCCTTTCCACGTGCCGGGACCTCTTGCTCCGTTCATCGTACGACAGTTTAACGTAATTCGGAGCTCGTTAGTGTCGACTTTCTTTTCCCGTACTTTCGTGTGCTTGGTTTTGCGATTTTGACGCATCAGGGTCGAGCGAGATGACCTGCGCGATGGAAAAAAGTCTGTCGCTATTGATATACAAGCGCAATTCGCGTTTACGTTACGACGCAAAAAAATTGCGTTTCGTTGCGTAAAACCGCGAAATCTTTGGTATGGCGTAAACAACGCGCTTGTGTTAGTAAGTACGAGCGAAAAATACGAGGATCGTTCGAACCGCCGCTGGCGGTCAGTTACGAGTAATAAGTAAGACTATTTCACAATGCACAGGAACAAGACGACACATTCAGTCGATGAGAAACACAACGAATAATATACATATACATGCCAGGTATAAAGAGACAAAAAGGAAAAAAGATAACGTAACGTGTCAAGATGACAAAAATAACGAACGAATATAAACGAGCAAAGCGATCGTGATGCAAAAAATGAATCGAGGACGAATCTTTGTTTGGTGAGCTTTGCGCGGAAGCAACATTTTATTGCAGGCAAGACAGAGCGAATTGGCGAATTCTGCGAGTAGCGATAAACGAAACAAAAGAAAATCAAAAGGAAATAACATCGAGCGAGACGAGAGACGCGCGCAGGGCGTCCTACGACGTGCAGAGAACGAAATAAGTTGAAACAAATATGTAAATGAGAAAAAAAAAAAAAAAAAAAAAACGACAGAGAGCGACAACCTCGACCGTCGGTGATCGGACGAGAGAAAGCGAGGAACTTAAGATGGAACGCAAGTCTCGGGCAAGGAGAGAGCATTAATAAAAGGGATCTTGTGAACGGGCTGAGTGTTCAACTCACTCGCTGCAGGGTAGACCAGCATTCCTCGAGGGTGCGTTCACTGATGTTGCCCATTCCTCCACCACCGCCGGCACCTACCGCACCTCCAAGCCCCGCCGCAGAGGCACGAGACTATCAGGCAAGATAGGATAGCTCATGTTAGTTGCCGATCCTCGTCGTCCTATGGCTACTAACCGTAGCTCTCTACTACAATGCTTGTTTTTTTGTTTTTTGGCGAAATAAAAAAAAAAAGACGTTCCACCGATCCGGCAGAACGATAAACTGAGAACAACGTGACAAAACGAGTATTTCTGCATCGTGTATAAACACAGAGATAGCTGTCGCTCTAATCGCGATCGGGTTTAAATTAATATCTATCTGTACTGTAAAATTTCATTCGGAAATAAAAGAATAAAATTTTCTCGTGAAAAAAAAAACCTAACAATGGAATGGTCGATATTTACTATACGTATTCGCGAAACGTTTTTGCGCGAAGCTTTAGGTCCTTTCAGCTTTTCTTACGAGTCTTATTTATAGTCTTGCTAATTACGAGAATCGCCGATGCTCGAGCTCGTTAACGCGATCTTAAAGTTCCGCTATCTGTCAGTAGATACGGTATGATTTTTTTCTCTCTCTCTCTCGCTCTCTCACACTCAGATTCTCTCTCGCTCCCTTTCTTTCTCTCAATCTCTCTTTCTTTCATCAAGACTTTGCGGCCCGTACCGTCGCAGAAACATGGCGCGATATTTTCTTGGTAACATCTTCCCGGCGTACCGTATGACGTATATGCGTATGGTATTATCTGTGTTGCGCGGGTCAAGAACCCCGGGAGACGACGTATCTGCATCTCCCCGCATTGGTGTGCGTGGGCCGCGTTCGCATTTGCGGACTGCACTGCTACTTTGATGTGTGCGTGCTCTCTCTCACTCTCTCTCTCTCTCTCATTCCTTCACCCGCTCACTCTACACTCGCTCGCTCATTCTCTCTCCTTCTTCCACGTATATACGAGCGTGTAAGTCAGTAGTAAGTCAACGTACCTTGTTAGTGTGAATGTATATATGAATAGCTATGTGTGTGTCTCCGTATGCGCAGCGTGGTCAGCGTATCTAGGTACAGTCGCGGAATCAAATCAACGAAATTGTCGATGACATGTGACTTTGTAAGATTGAGATGCTAAATTAACGCAAAAGTCATCGCGTCTATCTTCTAGCGAACTTATATCGCGAATTTTCGCGGTATAGCTCTCTTCGCGCGAGCAATTTTATTTGAGCGATAAATTCGAGGCAACACTTGCTATACATCATTTAACGAGAACGCGGCTTCTCATTCGATTTTTACGCAAAGCAACAAACTGTCGCGAGGCATTAGAACAAAACCGCGCTATTTATAAGAAGCACGCTATATTTACATGCCAATATGCAGGAGGGACCTTGATATCTCGCGATACTTAGGGCTCGTCGACGCGTCGCGTCGCGTCGCGTCGCGTCGCGTCGTCGACAGCGCCGTTGAATAAATATTTTTCTCCGCAAGGAGAAACTTCGCTCTCAAAAGTATTGTCCGGCGTCTGTCCGAGTGAATGACCCTATTTATCGGTGCGCTATGTATTTTTATCGCGGTTGCCTCGTCCCAGTTATTTATCGCTGCTCTCCTCCGTAGTGGATACTCGTTCGCTCGCTCGCGAGCGTTTCTCTCGCGAATGGAAAATAATCGAAAAAGAGGCGGCAGAGTTTTCGTTTCGTAGCTTATTCTCACCTGCAACTCGTTGACGAGCTTCTCCGTGAGGGTGGCGTCGTGCGAGTCCTGGCTGGTCGCGCCCGGACTCAACATGGAATTTTGCGAATTCGGCTGCTGACCGGCCGACATATTCATACCGGCGAGGCCGCCGTTCTGCGCGATGGTGCCGGCCATGTTGAGGGCCTGCTGCTGTAGATTCTGCGTGAGGTTCTGCGCTTGTTGCTGCAGATTCTGGGTGAGATTTTGCGCCTGCTGCTGTAGCGCTTGCTGGTTAAGCGCCTGGCCGAGATTCTGCGTGAGATTTTGCGCTTGTTGTTGTAGCGTTTGCGACAGATTTTGCGCCTGGTTTTGGATGTTCTGCTGCAGGCTCTGGCTCGCTTGACTCAGATTCTGCGGTTGGTTGAGCAGCTGCTGCTGTTGCTGCGGCGACAAACTCGGCGTCAGACTCTGCGCTAGATTGTGCTGCAGAGTCTGTCCGAGATTCTGCTGCATATTCTGCGTGAGCGCCTGGGTTAACGCCTGGCCGAGGTTCTGATTGAGCGCCTGAGCCGCCTGAACGGCCTGCACCGCCAGGGACGGGCTCGACGCTTGCGACATGGACTGCTGTGCTTGCGCCAGGCTGTGCAGGCTCTGAGCCATGCTGGAGGCGATGGCGCCCTGATGATCCGCCTGCGGCGACGGCGTTGTCGGTGCCGGGGAAGACTGATGCTGCGGTCCTTGATTCGTCTGGTTCATCGACAGCGCGTGCTGCTGCTGCTGCTGCTGCTGCTGCTGTTGCTGTTGCTGCAATTGCTGCTGAGGACTCGCGGTTTGTCCGAGAGTCGCGTTCGCGCTCTGTTGTACTTGCGAGACCGCGGTCTGCTGCTGTTGCTGCTGCTGCTGACCGAGCGGACTGTGCATCTGCTGGACCTGCTGCTGATGCTGCTGCTGCTGCGTCGAATTCGAGATGGGACTGTGCTGCAGCACGGGCGAATGCTGAGGCGGACCTCGCTGCGGCTGCTGCCAGTAATCCGACATCTTGAATACGTGCTGGCGTAGCGCGTGGAGGTTCGCGGCAGCCGCGGTGACCGCCGAAGCTTGGATCTCCATGGGTTCGGAATCGTTTTCAAGGTCGGGCTCCGGCGAGCTGCAGGGATCTTCGTCCTCCTCCTCGTCCTCCCGCTCGGTGATGTCCTCTTCCTCGTCGTCGTGAATCCTCGCGGACCGGTCCGGGTCGGATCCTCCGCCAGCAACAACAGCAACACCACCGGCGCTTCCGCCGCCGCCGCCGCCGCCACCTCCACCGCCACCTCCACCGCCGCCGCCACCTCCGCCGCCGCCTCCTCCACCACCTCCTATCCCACCCCCCGAATCGCCAGAGTGGAGATGATTCCCCGGGTGATGCTGATGGTGATGCTGCTGTTGCAAGTGATGGTGAGGGCGCGACTCTGGATTTTGGTTCTGCTGCGGATGCTGCGGCTGTGGTTGCTGTTGCGGCTGTTGTTGAGGTTGCTGCTGTTGTTGCTGCTGCTGCTGCTGCGGCGGCTGTTGCTGCTGCTGATGGTGATGCTGCGGCTGCTGGTGGTCTAGCTGGCCGAAGTCTGGTTGGGCTTGCGTCTGAGCACGCAGGTCCAGGGCCGCCGTCGCGTCCGAAATTTTGAGGCCTTCGCGAGAAGCCCGGGCTACCCCCTTCCGGCGCAGCTTGCCCGCTTTTTCGCACCCCTTCCGGTAAGCAGCTCGACGGCCGGCACACCTCTGCGCTCGCCGCCGTTCCTTCCTATCTTCCTTCTCGCTCGGCCGCTGTTTTCAGCCTCGGGATCGTCGTAACGATAACGATCCTCGCGCCGCGCCGAGCTTCGACGTGGGCGGCGGGCAACGTCAGTTACTCGCCACCTGCTGCGACTTCCCGGCCCTGCTACCTACCGCCTGGCTCATGAAACTTCCTCTTATAATCTCTCCACTCCCTCTTCCGGGTCCTCTCCCAGCTCTCTCCCTCTCTCTATCGCGCCTCCCCTATATCGTAGCTGTTGCTGTTGTCGGTCGCGATGCCTCGCACCGCCGATCGGTGGTTGTATGCACGTCCGTAATGCGTCTTTTATCGTGAGATGGCTCCTTACGTACGCGGATCGTTGTCTCGCCGCATACGTTTCGCGTATCCGTTCGCGTTTTCGCGGTCCGCTCGATCCTATAGATTCTTCTCTCTTTCTCCACTTCTTCTCCTTCTTCTCGTTCTTCTTATTCTTCTCCCCCTCCTCTGGGTTGTCGTATGTGATATGTGTGGTGTATGTGTGTGTGGGTGGGTGTATATGACGTGTTGTGCTTTATACGTCTGCTTTACGTGAGTTGTTTGCGCGCGCGAGCGAACGTTCTCCAGCAGATGGGAGAACGGTCTATTTTCCTTCGTCTATCTAACTTAAATTCTAGCGTACACTTAAGTTCAGGTTAAAATTCAGGATTGCCCAGCCCGGACGGTGTGAACGAGAAGGATAGTCCACGCGGACGCGAATCGGTTTATCGGTCGGAAGGTCCTTCGCTCCTCTTCGGGGTGAGAAATCGCACTCGCGGATGATTATCGCTCGTCCCGTTTTGCCCTGAGTATTTTAGCCCCGTTATGTTGGATGTGCGTGCGTGTTGTGTGTGCGTGCGTGTGTGTGCGTGAATACCCGAACGCGCTCGAACAGGCTGTAAAGTTGGTGTCCGCTGTCGCGCGCGTCGGCTTGAGTCGGTGAATTCGTGTGAATTCTTTTAAGCGGGACGAGAGCGTTTCTCTCCGGGATTTCCGTCACTCCGTTTCTGCTTCCGGCTGCTTCCTCCGATTCTCTTCTTCTTCGTCGCGTCCGTCGATGACTCCTCCTCGAAATGCGACTCTAGCGTTTAACTCTTTAAAAGGAATTCTATTCGATTATCGATCACCGCTCGTCGTTACCGATATCGTCGATGGTAGTTGTGGTTGCTTCTTATTATCGTTTAGGTTTAATTAATATTGCACTTAGGTACACTCGTTTTTTGAACACACTGAAATATATGTATGCAGCGCGGGGTTCTCTCTCTCTCTCTCTCTCTCTCTCTCTCTCTCTCTCTCTCTCTCTATCTTCTATCTTCTTGCTCTGCTCTTACTCTCTCTCCCTCTCTCTCTCTCTCTCTCTCTATTTTTTCTCTCCTTCGATCTTTGTCTCTCTGCGCTTCCGTACTCTACTCCCGTTCTTTCCGTTCTTCTATCTCCTTTATCGCTATCTTCGGATGCGCGCGATCGATTCGCTAATCACTTTCTCTTCGCAACCCCGCTTCTACTCGTTCGGCTCTCGGTCTTCTTGCGCTCTTCTGCTTCTCCGCTTCTGCTTTGCTCGTCTTATTCTGCTTCTTCCGCTTTGTCCAGTCTTCCTCTCCTGCGCGGGAATCTCTCGCTGCAACGCGTCTCCCGCTCGAAGCTGCAATCCAGAACAAGAAAAATACATTTTTGCGTTATTCGGTGCCGCACGCGCAACAAACATTCATACGACATCGACACGACTACTTTTTCAACGTCAGGCAACTGTTTCACACGATTTTCCTCGTAATCGGAAAAAATCACCGGAATGTTAATTGTTTTTTAATATTCAATCGGTTGTCACAATTCACTACGAGAGGTGGGATGCTCGAATCTTATTATAACAATCAAATCTAAATGCCTCGACAGATTCGAAAACGCGAGGATAATGTCATTTGAAACATTGATTTTTATCGGATTGCCTACAAGCAGAAGCAGCAATCTCAGTGTGAAAATATCGAGTGCCGAATAACCGCGATATCACAAATCAAGTAAGAAGAATCGTAATAAAATTTCGCGCGCGATATCAGAAAAGTGTAATCTTCGAGATTTTATGATCTTACGGCGAGATAGCGTTACTGAACGCGTTTCTCTTTCGACTGACGTTTATGAAGGGTTACACTTCCGGCCGCGACACAAACAATAATTTCAACCAGCACTGTCAGGAGCACGCACTAATTACGCGACATTGTAAATTTCGTCCGTTTGACACGTCCAACTCTCGTGTCGATAACATTTAACATTATACAAATTCATGCCCTCCTTTTCGCGATGCAGACTCTCGTGATTACGTGATTTTTTTCAATTAGTTTCGCATTTTAGGAAAATCGGCCGACTTGGAAAACGCGAACGTCTTTTGCCGTCGCGTGGTGTTTGCCACTGATAATGATGGAAAGGGTGAGAAATACGTAATGCAAAGATGTAGGATTAGTAATAAAGAAATGAAAACAGTTAATTCTGCGAATGATGCATTAACAAATGAAATGTTTATTCACAGGAACGAGTGTAGTGTCGCGTAATGAAAAGGTAATAAATCAAAGCACAGGATAAACGGGATAAAAATAAATTTTCGGAGCACTCTGATAATATATATACATATTCTCGTAAGAATATAAGATATAGGGTATATACGGTATTTATAAGTCGACGTAGCATCACTGCGAGCGTAACGCAATGTCCCACTATGACACTACCGTTCACACGTCCAATTGCGTTCGCGATCGTTTTTTCCGCCAATCTCTCTCATCTCGCTTATATTTCATGGAATTGAAAATTTGTATTTTCTCCGTCCGGGTTGATTCGCCGTCCCTCGAATTCGTCCCCGACACGCGCATTTTTTTTTCTCGCGGAGACTGTCGCTGATCGAGGAAGAGGGTTGACGCGACGTCAATGAAATGCCAAATAATTTGTTGCGACATATGACAGGCTTACGCGACGTGACGAGCATTGTCGCCCGCTTGTTGAATTAACGATCCGAAATGATGACGCGCGAATGTTCGCATAATTGCTAACTCGTTTACTCGCGACATGGCGACTCGTTACGTTTATTGTTCGCCGCGTAATTTCGCGATCGCGAATATGATTGGGATGATAGAATTATTCGCGTGTCCGTGCGCTTTCGAGACGACGATCGAAATTCTCGCTTCCAGGTTATTTTTCCCTCTTCCTTTTCTCCTTTCGTTCTCGCATCTTCGCGATCTTACCGAAGCACATCGTATCGCACTACCGGGAATCGAGAGACGGGATCGAAGCGTGTGCGATCGCGACGAAACACTGTTGAGACGGCGACGATGACGTACCGGGCATGTCAGGATTCGGAACAGAGGATAGGAGGGGGTGGGTCAGTGGTGGTCTCGATGGCCGAAAGTGGGGAAAACTGGCTAAAATGACACGAGAAAGAAGAAGAAAGATGCGTCGGCATTCGCTAATGACGAGGTGGTACGTTGACACGTATCGGGATAGAATATTGTTGTCCGGAAGGAAATCCCTTACTTCGAGAGAGATCGTGAGTTGACGGAGCGATGCGGTCGACGATGGTCGGTAACGCGCGGCAATACGTAAATCGTTGCACCTCGGGTCCTCGCGACCTTCGTGCACGGTATCGGCCAAGACACTGTTCTTCCTCTTCGGAGGACGACGACGACGACGACGACGACGACGACGACGACGACGACGTACGACGGGGGAAAAAGCTCTCTCCTCTTCCGCGTTCGAGTCCTTGACGGAGGAGGAACCGAAACTGACTCGGGTCTGCGGCTCGCGAGAAACGCTAAGTCCTTCTCCGTCGGGGGCCGGTGGTGGCGCGCTTCTCAGACCGCGTGCGTCTGACTAAAAGCCACCCCCTCGTGCCTTAAAGAACGCGTGTTCGGGTAGGGGCGTTGTCTTAGGTGGTGCGCGGCCGCGAAATTTCTGGCCACCTCGGGGCGCCTTCGCCGTACGCCGTTTCTTCACCGCGGCGATCTCGTACGCGGGTCCGACGGGCCCGGGCGAGGGCCCAGGTTACCGTGGACCGACTCGTGACCCCGGCCGCGTCCACCCACGACGAAAATCTACCTCCGTGAGGACGAAAAACTGAGGCCGCCGTAGGACAGGAGTTTTCAAGCTACCCCTCTTTTCCTTCGCCCCCACCAGACACGACGCCGAGGCGCGCGCTCTATCTCCCCCTTTTCCTCAAACTCTCCTCTCTCTTCACCCCTCGCCCAAGTGGGTGGGTGGGTGGGGGTTTCTCCGCCGCCGACTCCGCCGACGCCTCGTACGGGGGTAGCGTCGTAAGGGGTGAGAGAAAGAGAGTGGGGCCGCTCTCCGTCTCCGTTTCACCCGGCCAAGAAAACCCTCCCGGCAGGAGGGAAGGAAACGCTCGTAAGAACCGATTATCTATCCCTGTCTATCTCGATCGCTATCTTACACTTCGCGGTTACGTCCTGCCGCACGTAAGTATACGCGAGCGAGCGAGCGAGTTCTTTTTGTTCAACCTATGTCCTTGAAAACTTTTCGCCAACTCTTTCGCGAACTCTTCTTTAACGAGATATAATAGCGAATACGCGTGCGAACGCCGCGAATCGGGGTACTCGACTGATGAAAAATTCTAGGGGGCTTCTGCGTAAGGGGGTGTAGCAGTCTGAGGTACGAATAAAAAGAAGGGGGACCGTCGTATAAAAATGGCCTCCTCCCTCATGTGTGTCCCGTATGGCAACATACGCGTGACTAACTATGCCGTGGGGGCAGACGTTCTTTTTTATCCTTCCTTTAGGGATCGAGTTACGTCGATACTAATACGCGCGCAAACTTTGCTCGCGACAATTAAGTCGATCGGGTCCATTGATCGAATATGTATCGAGTCGATCCCATCCGTCGTTCTTGCCATTCTCGTTTTGAAAGTCAAATCGCGATTTAAACGTGGATCATCGACCTTGCGGAGGACGTCGACTTTCCAGTGGACGCGCTATGCGCGATGCTCATTTCACGGCGGAGGGTGGTCGATGGTGGTCATCCTGCTCGTCTTACGCACCCTCGCTCGCCAAAGTAGACAACCCACCCGCCCTTCCTACCCTTCTTCTCCCTCCCTTCCGAGCTCTCATCTAACGTAGCTGCCCCACCATCGCATTAGGCTCCTATTCCTCCCTTCTCCGCCAACGTCTTTTCCCTCTCTGCACGCTCCTTCGTCCGTCTTTCTCCCACCGACGTACGCCACCCTACATCCTTTTCTCTCCGTTCTTTCCCTCCCTTTTTTCAGCCGCCTCGTCTCGCACCCCCTCCCACCAAAGCGACAACCCCCACGCGCCTGCTTTTTTACGCTGGCCTCGTCCTTTTTTCCACGTGTATACCACGTGGAAGTATGAGTCCGGAGGGTGGGGAGGCGCGACCCCTTTTTTTTTCTTCACCCTGCCCCGCGCCGAGACGACGCAACAACGCGCGTCCACCCTTCTCCATCTCTTTTTCTTCCCTCGAGTGAAAAGGCAGCGGCGATAAGAATAAGCGGCGAGTGAAGAAAAGAGCGTCGCTAGCGTCCGGTCGCATCCCTCCACCCACATCGCGTCGACCCTATCCGCGTCTCTTCCAACGCGCCTGCGACGAGGGTGGTGGACCGTCGCGCGAAAAAAGTTAGCCAATAGTCCGGCGGACGGTGGAAAAATCGAGTGACCTTCGCCACGTGCGACACCACGCGCGCGCGCGCGCGCGCGAACCTTCTTTGTCGCGGTGCGACGGACCGTCGAAAAATCCTCTCCTTAAAGGGATACGACGACCGTTATACGTGTATGACGAGATCGATTATTCCGACGTATAGCTCGCCTCGCCGCTCACATGTATGTCTGCCAAGCAGAATTGGAAAGGGAATCGCGATATTTTTAGCAGCGTAATTTCTTCAAGTTTTTTCACTTGTAAAAAACGAGGGTAAATGTTCAATGATGAAAAACACGTCTTGGAGACACAAAAAATACTCGTATACGTATATATTTATGAGGAGAGATGTCCAAGATTAGCTCTAAGTATCTACTAAATGCTGCGAAATATTCGGTTGATCCGGACGTCACCGGAAGGCAACGTATAGGTAACGCACTACCGACACGAGGGTCTCCGGCACGAAAGTGGCCGGGGAGCGATCGCGATCGAACTTCCGCAGGCTGCCGCCGTATGCGGGTGGAGAGAAAGAGAGAGGCACTCGCGCGCGAGAGTGTGTTCCTCCGAAAATAAGTACGTACATTGGGCAATCGAGGCACTCGCTTTAAATTACAAATGAAGCGGCCGGCCTGATGCGGCGTACGCGAGGATAAAAACAGGTGAGAATCGAGCCTCCGCGCTTGGTTTATATAGAGTGGGTGGATTGTCAGGTATATATACATATGTGTGTGTGTGTACGTACGCGGCATTTTAGATCTCAATCCCGATCCCGATCGGCAGCTGGACTCGAAGAACCGACCAACGGACGTGTACGAACCGCGGGTACTTGGCGTGTACGAAAATTGTTGCACGTGCACTTGCAATTCTGACGGCCAGTTGTGTCGGCGCGGCGCGGCGCGGTGCCTTGTAAATCGCGTCGATCGACTACCCCGATAGGACGTACGCCTCTGCGTAGGAAGACATTTGTCTTCTGATCCTACCTACTTTGAATCGTCCGCCTTCTTCTTCGCGAAAGTGCCGGCGGCGGGGGAGTGCGCGAAAATGCGTCGACGAAGGCGGTCGTCGGGTGATGGAAATACCACCGGGATATTTGTGTCCCATATGTATGTCCTTTGAATTTCCGGCTTGCGATAGGAGGACTAATATTCCGAAATTACGATTTTATCCAAATTTTTCATTTCGAGTAATCAGATTTTCAAAGAACGATTATGAATTTGAAAATGGAATAAAAAACCAGATGAAAAGGGAGACCAATATATTTAATACGTGTCAATAATTTTATTTACATGTAAAAAAAAGGAATTATTTTATACGAATGAATTTTGAACGTGTCTGTCACGTAAAGAGAATTATAAAACAATAATCCATTCGAATCGCTTTGTTTCGCTGCTCGTGTGAAGTAGCCTCGTCTCAACCCCTCGTCGCGCGGAACTACCCCGTGGTGAGGTGACGTCTGGCGGCGAAATAAGGAACGAACGAGTGGAGAAAAGGGTGAGTCGTTTTAAGGTTTTTGTCCGTGCTAAAATATCGATCGGAGCGAAAGGGGCGATGACGACAAATGCGATTACATAATGCACACATTTCATTAAAATATATAAATGATGACACGTACGCAAAATTTCCAAAAGAAATATAAAGGTAATCTATAGGAAATAAAAAAATATGAAATTGCTTTTTCAAAATAATACAAAAAATATACTTTTATATTCTTTGAAGAGAGAGATCGAATAATATTCGTATGAATTAAATAACGCAATGAGACTAGGACAATTTTCCGATAAATGAAAAATTTATGGAAGAAGGAGAGTGCTTATTTTTCCATGGCGATAAAAGCGTCAGACAATTAAACTCACCCGCGCTATGTTACATCGATTTCAATCCTCAACCACCTCACGCGCGTTATCACATATCGACGAATATACATATGTCGCGATACGAGGAGACGCACTATTTTATTCGGCGGGAAATGAGATTAAGATCGTCGCGACGGTCGCGATTCGGCGAATCGGTGGAACGTGCAGCACGCGAGCCATCGAAACTGACGGCCCGGATTAAGAATTCTAACGGTAGGAGTAGCCGGTCGGCTAGTAGGATGAAATGAGCGACGCGTCCGGCGCATTACGCAATGAAAGAAACAAATGAAGCTTAATAGAAAAACTGCCCGCGCTAGAAAAACCCATTCCGTCGTGCACTTAGTACAGCTGCGTCAGAAAGTGCATCGGTCGTTCTTTCTCCCCTCGTTTGTTACGCGACGAGATGATGATGATGATGCATCGCGCGGTCCTCAACGAGTGAACACTTTTTTTTTTTTTTTTTTTCGCATCCGCTGCGGTCAAATTTAATCCGCGCGATTTGATACTATATCAAGCGCGATATTTTAATTGAAATATATGCACGCGGAAAATTGTACGCGCGATGTTCTTTCAATTTGCGATGCATCGAACATGGAACAGCGAGGTCATCGGAATTGTCGCGAGTCAGCGATCCGAAAAACTGAACGGGGAGGCAGCGAGACACTTGATGAATTTTTCAAGTCCATTCGGACGGACGGCTAATTAACTCTAGTAATCGAGCAAACGTGTAGAATCGGTAGCAGCTCACCGCTGTCCGGTGTACTTTGTTCCGGTTCTAAATTTGATTTACATTAAATATGAGAACGCTCTCGTCGGACGAGCGAGCGAGCGTGCATACGCGTGCACGTACGCGTGCATGCCGTATCGCCGCATTAAATATAACCAAACGCGGCAAACGCGCGTAATGAATCAAATTATTTCGGACCGCGGCGCGGTTGAAGGGGGAATAATTTATCCGCGTGAAAAGGATAAAAGCGGGGAAAAAAAGAACGAATTGCAGATTCGTCGAGAGAAAGCAAACGGATGGACACCGATTCGATCGAAACGCCGCTAGATCGATCGATTCCGGATAATTCGGGATGTCAAATACGCGCGTCGCGAGATCAAAGACGCGTGTGCGTGCGTGCGTGCGTATGCGCGCGAGCGTTTGTCAAACGCGGAGAGAGAACGCATCGTCGTCGTATACATTTTTCCCGACTGTACCACCACCGTCGTCTGTGCGGCTGTGTCAATAGGAGCCAATCTAAGTACATATGCACACACAGACGTAATGCAGCTCGCCGCACACACAGTGCGGACTCGTGATGCAATCGTGTGCCTCGTGCCTCGCGCAGTTTCGACATTCTCTTTGCCCCGCGCTATGCGCAAAGTGCGGCAACGAATTCCGCGATCGGACGCGATCGATCGATCGGTCGGTCGGTTGGTTTGTATATCTGTGTGTATATGTGCACACTCTGAAATTTTAACCTCGGAGCAAATCCGAGGATCGACCCGGCGTCCCGAGGACACCCCGAGGTTGACGATGACGATGACGACGACGAGCGGCTGATCCGAGAGAATATCGAGAGTCGTATCGTGTTTTCCGAGACTCGGTGCGAACCGCGAAGAGAGATAAGATAAAGCGGATCTCCAGGATCAAGGTGAAGAAGATAGCGCGGTGACTTTGGGTGACAAAGTCGTTCCGGGAATAAAAAATTCCTCCGCGTTATCGGAAAAATACGACGCGTATATACATATATATATACCATTCTTATTAGCGAACGTCGGCGTTTTCAAGTTTTCCGCCAGCGCCAAAAATATCCTCGCCTCTTTCTCGTTGAAAATACCTCGCGAAGAGAGACGTTGGATTGAATTTTTAAAAATGCCGATTATTATCGAATCACTTTCATTATTCGCAAATCTTTTCAATTACGCAATTTCTTAGGTCGAAAGCGATGAAAGAACGAAATGATTTATTAGACGGTCCGAAATGCAACGATGCGAGATTAATATGGCTGACGACGAAAATAGCGAGATAAAATTTATCGCGTTATTATTGTTGACGATGAAAAACAATCTATTTTTTTTTCAAACGATTAGTGGATTCGAAATGTGTGTGCTAACGACGGTTGATTTCGGAGCGCGTGCAACAACGCGGGTCGCGTCGATGACGAGAGTCTGCGAATCATGAAAGATGGTGGCATGCAGACGCCGGTCGATGATTGCGAATATATATTTTTGCCCGCGCGCACAATCAGTACTTTCCGTCTCGTATATTTGCCGTAAAGTACGAGGGGGGGCTAGCCAGAGAGCGGCGGAATATATACATAGAAAGGCCGTTAATCAAAGCGACAGCGAGCTCCGGTCCGGGCCGAACGGCGAGTTTTGCCATTTTTGGGGGGAAAATTTTCCG